ACAAAATCAAATGTCTCTCAGAAGACAACATGGCAGCAGTAGCAAACAAGCAGGAAAGCCAAACATGGTACACAGTCACAACCTACCCTCAAATATTCCCACAAAACAACAGAGTTCATAAGGACTTGAAATAAAGTGTCGCTTAGCGAAAAAAATATTTTTGCTAGTAAAACATTCCAAGAGAACTGGCTAATGAGACTTTTCTCCTTGTGCTGTCACACAGGAAACTCCTGTGTGTCTATGAACAGAATATTTATTTCCAGTGAACCCTTCCTACTAATATATTGCCATACAATGTCAGGAAACCAGCATGAATCCTTCAAAACAAGAATCAAGACTTTTCATGTTGTATTTTTTTGTTAGGCAATTTCTAGTATAGCATCTCTGATGTGTTTTCAGCTGATATTACAACTAAGTGAGTAGGCAGAATAACTTAGGTTGGAAGAGACCTTTAAGATCATCAAGTCTAATTATTAATACTCATTGCCAAATGGCACTTCTATGTACAATTCTAATCAAGTACAATGTGACACAGTATTGGAAAAAGTAGCTACTTAGGAATAACTATGCTGGTGGCTCTGAAAAAACAACTCCAAAAAGCTAATCTGAAAAACACATGTGAGTAGAACATACAAAGCCAGTTGTAAGACTTTTTATTTTCTTCACTTTGTCATTGATGGGCTCTATGATTTCTACATTGACATCAGTTTTCAGGGAAGGGACTCCAGTAAATGAGGTAAACTTCAAGAGACAGGACAGTAACTACTGGTCATTAGAAAGTAATCTGTTTGGCAAAAAAAAAAAGGCTATTATCTATAGTTGCATATTACATTATATTGCATCCCAGAAGAGAATCCAGAACCAGAGCATAAAAGGATATTCATGCCATAAACAGTTTCCATGCTACTGCCATTACAAGAAATAGAAAATAGGAGCCCTTAGTTCCCAGTTTAGCAGAAAATTGAGCTCTCTGCTAATGCTTTTACTGACCATGCCTAAAGATGATCATGGCAAATGTTATTCTCTATTCTATTCAAGTCAGTAATTCAGTACAATATGCAGAGGTCAGAATGACAAACGGAAATGAAAATGGGCAATGCATCTCTAGTACTGATGTAAATAATACTCAGAGAAGTACTACTATATGTACTCACTAAAACACCTTTTACATGGACAAAAATAAACAGAAAGGAAAAATAAACAAAGGAAGGAGGAAGTTTGTGAAAACTACATATAAAAAACACATAAAATTAAAAAGCATTGGCAGACATCAAGCTTTATTCTACTGCAGCACATTCAGTAGACTCCCAACAACCATGTAAAGTCAGATTTTCCTCTTAAGAAGAGGATAATTCCATTATTTTCTTACCTTGAAAAATTAAATGATGACAAATTTTAAAGGAAACATGAATAGGAAAAGAACTGTCATTACAATAATGATGTTATTCTGTACTGAAGTAGATCTGCTTATGACTTCTTTGAATGTTGTGCTTTTATTCAAACCAAAAATGGAAGACAGATATCAAAGTGAAAAAAATCTCTAAAAATAAAATTTAATTATTTGGTTATTTGTTACCTAAAGATTAAAATAATTATGTGAATAGTATTTATAATATCTCTTTTGCAAATGTTTCATATTTATCTGCTTTCCCAATATTGAAAAATACCACTGACCAAGAAAACAGTATTTTATGAATGAGATTCCAAAAATAAAGGAAGGAAAGAGTCTAGTCCATAGTAATAAGTGAAACATTTCCTAACAGGATGTGACTGAACTTACATGACAGGAATGCCAAGATTGCAATTTCTCTGCTAAATAAATTCTCAGTTTAAGGACTGAAATCTTCCATTAGTTGCTACAATGCATCACTGAAAGTGTACATATTCAGTTTAAAGAAAAATATTCTACATGCACCTTGTGGAGACAACAATTCAAACTGGTGCCATGTAAAAAGTAGAAGCACTGAATAATATTAAGAATAATCTTAATGAAAGGATTGGATGAACCTCTGTAGTTTTCAAAATTAGTAACCTTAATTTTTTCCACCAAGAATAATTGTTTTTGTGATTTCGTTTAGAACCTTTCCCAAAAGGTGAATTAAGCACTGCTTCCTAAGATTCAGTCAGTTCAGACTAAAGCAGATCACAACTGTGCTCATATTTTGTAATGAAGTATGGTGCAGAATTCCTAAGTTTGTGCCAGAAACTGAATTAGTACACACATATTTTATAGCAACACAAAGCTATTTAATTGGCTCTGCTGAAATGTAGGACTAAGTGGTATGAAGGATGTTGATGCAGCTGCGCTATTTTTCGACCTCAGATCTCTCCAAATAGCATTGCACTGGACATGCCATTTCATCTGGTACTAGTCTGGCAGTGTCTGTTAGAGTCATGAACTGGGTAGTATAAAAATTCTCTTAGCTTACCCTCTTCTCACAGCTGTGACAGCCTTCACACTGGTGTGTTCCACAACAATTAATCATGACACACATGCTTGCCTGACAAAACTACGTGATCTTTTCACTCCTTCCTTCAGCATCTAAGAAAGTGATGTTGTTTTTCCCATCTTTCTTCATGCCCCTTAAGGATGAAGTCATGCAGGATTCCTTCGTGGACATACCTGTCATTGCATCTGCAAATCTACTGACAGATTAGGAGTCTTGGATGAATAAATAACTGGCATTTCTTTCAGACAACTCCTTACACTAGTACTCTTCAACTTTGGATCGAAGTCACGGTTTTTGTCACTGCACACGTAAGATCAAATACCAGCTAAAAGTCCATGGCACAGGCAGAACACAACAGCTACGGAATGCAATAAGGGAAAGCAGATAATGGTATGTGTCACCATCTGTCTGGTTTGAGCATTAGATCCTATTTGTCTGCTCTGTTCCTGGTCAAGCTGTAGTCTCTGTTGTTCCAGCTGTTTTGTTGAGGACAACACAAGCATTCCTCTCATCCTACTTTCGTTATTTCCTGTTTAACCAAATTTTCAAAGGAATAACTTTTCCAAGTATGCACCCGTGGATCTGAATTTGACTCATATACCACTATATTTGATTCTACATTGCTGAAATGGGTGTTAGATCAGCTGCTAATACAGAATAAAGCAGAATTTTTCCCTTCAGCGATATATCTGAGTTGTTTCTAATATGAATTAAACTACTAATGAGCATTTAAAAAGAAAAAAGACCAAGATGTACATGTGGAAATAAAGGAGGGTAAGAGAGAAGAAAGAAAGAGAAACCAAAGAAAAAGTATGCAAGTAGAGTATATTAACTTGAGGTTACTGAATTTGAACTGCAGCGGGAGCTAAATGTTGACTGAAAACCTAGAGAAATGCACAGTTAAAACACTTGTTGATCAAGCAGCCAATAAGCCAGTAGCAGTATATGGAACAGGTGGCCCACAGAAAGTATCCTAGAGACATCTCCCATGTTGTCAGTTTTGCTCTTCTTCAGGAAAACAATCAAAGACTACAAGAATGCAGTGCCTTAAATTCGTTATATAATCTAATAGTCTCATAAAATTGCCCCGACACATAGGTGTAGCTTTTGTTGATCCAAAATTGGAACATAAGTGAAAACAGGTTTTATTCTATTTAACACTTTTGACCTGGACATATAAGCATCGAGAAGCTTTGCCACTGGGCTTTTAAAAGTTTTACAAAGATCTTCAGAAAAGTACCACCTTATGTACTTCATAAAGTGACATATTAAATTTCAAAATGAAAACTCATTGCAACGTTAAGAAGAAAAAAAATTTTTCTCTCTTCAAGGGAGCTTAAGATAGAACTTGAGTTTTCCCATCACTTCTTGAGTTTTCCGATCACTTGGCTCATCTCTGTAAAGAACATCTCTACCTTAGTTATTTGGGTTATGCTTGACACACTGATGGCTTCAAACTCACAAAATACAGAGCTGACATCCATTTATTCAAGAATATCTTTTGCTGCTGCTGCTAACACCTTCCTAAATATCAGTATGTACAGATGTCAACAGTGGAATGTCTGACTTTCTGAGTCACAGAACAATTGTTTTAGAACACAGTCACTACCATTACAGACAGCTAGGTGGGCTCACATGGAGTGACTTAGGCATACAATACAACCTTAACCATTGCAGTAATGGCAAGCCTCAAACTAGTTCAGAGAAAAGCATTAAGCACATTGTCATAGAACCTCAAAATGCTATTGATATTTTGAATATCATCCTCCCAAAAGAATTTGAATTCAAGGAAGAATACTCTATTAAGTCCCCTTTCATTCTTCTGTGTTCAGCTACCAATTTGACTGTTACAACACTGAGTGTCCAGTTTGATATGAAAACAATATCAGAATATATTCCAAGTTATATCAGTTTGCATCAAACTATCACCTCAAAAGGTCAGGATGAAACTTTCTATTGCCTGGTCAAAACTACAACACTAGAAGATAACATTGGTGTAAATCTAAAAAATATTGAGATGCTTTGAAGACTTTTACTGGTTCACGTTATCTTGGTAGAAATCTATCAAACCCAGAAGTTGGAAATGTGAACAGGTACGCAACATATAATGCTGTACTGTCTAATTCATTCAAAGGTTTTCAGAACTGTTCCTGTCAGTGTCCTAAGACACCTTTTTCTTCCTGTAAACTGCAATTTTTTGACAAATATTGTTGGCCTGTATATCTTATCCCAGTCTTGAATTTGAAAGATTCTACACCCGCATAATGAATATAAAAACTGTAATTTTGCAATAGAGTGTATAATCGCAACACACAAAAGTAGTTTTTCTCTCTATTTATTCTACAGATCCAATGTGACTGTGTTCAATCTAGTTTATGTAAGATCTTTTTCCCATTCTTGAGTTATTTTTGTAGACCATGCGCTATTATAAAGTTCTTTGCACTCAGGCGATGAGACCAAGCACTGATTTGAAGAAGATGAATGGAGCAATTTAAAGATGTATAATTGCTGCAGGAAAGGAGAGAAAGGAAAATGTACTAGAATACTCACTTTGATGAATCTATGAAGTATATTACAAGAGCACCAATACTAAGAGCGAAGACTAAGACAACCTAAAAAAGAAAAGAAAAGAGTAATTATTTAACAGAGTTAAATATTTTTCTTTTACATACAAAAAAAAAGACAAGGAAAATAAATAATAAGGTAGTATTGTTTTATTTCAGCTGTCATTTTCTTTAGAAAAACACTCCTACTTGAACTTCAAACATTATATATTATCATAGAATGCTTTCTTTCATTGAAAAAGAGATACAAGACAAATCCTAGTTCAGGGAAATCCAGCAGAGAATTAGGTCCTAGATCCTAACCTCTGCTAAACTATATTCTTAAATTTTAAATGGCATGCAATATTAATGCATAGTATTCAAATCACAGTCTAGCTTTATCAGATCTATCCTTCAGGACTACTCATTGGTACATAAACAAAGAGTGATTACAGATCAGACTGAATTTCCATTTACATGTGTGGCTATGAAACCCACAGGAAAACTGTAAAGCTATGTAAAAATATGTATTTATTCTGCACTCTTGTCCACTGAGACTACAGTGAACTTTCAAACAAGTTACATCAATAGCTTGATGCAGAATGTCACGATCCAAGGAACACATGCCCTGGGTACCTTAGAGTTGCAGCCCTTTCCTCTTTAAGTCTATTAAGTTTTTGAGCCAAATAATTTTGTTGGGTCTGGTATCTAGCCCTTATTAACAAAATAGAACTTGCTTTTCTGGCTAACACAGAAGAAACTGGATTAATTACATCTCTGTCTGTCTCTAATTTCTTTTTTCTGAACATAAAACCAATACCATTGTCTGTTCTAAAGGCTCCCAAAGATGATGGCTTGTGTACTAAACTTATAATCCATTTGGGACTCTATAAACACTTTTCTCACCCTTTCAAGTTTTACAAAGTATATAAGGACTTTTATTTTCCTTTTCACTTAGTAAATCTTAAGTTATAACATTCAGTCATTGCCTCCTAGCCAAAGGAATCTTCTAGAACAAACCCAGCATAAGTGTACACTAACCTTGCATTTCAGTTATATCCAATCCCTTATTAATCATCACTGTTCTGCTTAAATAATGTTATAGAGATTCTGAGTAAGACATTCCAAAACATGTAAGGAATTTAAATGTTCAGATAACTGCCACTAAAATGCAAATATCTGTATTTTGCAAACAGCTCCAGAATCCCATGCTACACCAAAAGTGAGACATGTATGCAAAACTACAACATTTCCCTACTGTAATACATATACCTGATTTTAAATCAAGGTTTATTTTCTCTTCTAGTGCCTTAAAACACATACCTAACATTATAATTAACAACGTCCCCAAGAATCACAGAAAGTGCACCAGAAGAGAATGGAATCTTAAACTCCATTTTTATCCTGCGAGCAGAGAAACTCATTTTTCTTTTGCTAAGGGACAGAGGTATTCAGCTGAACTTGAATCCATCAAATGTGTAGGAAAACAGAGCCTGAACTGATCACATTAGAGTTACATTAAATAGATAGATAAAGCAAACTAAAAACCAAAACACTCTTCTACGCTGCATGATAGTCTCAGATGCAAATTTTTTTGCTGTATTCCCACCTAAATAAACCTGAATGCAACCTGGTTATTCAGATCCTGGGCGATACTTACTGAGTTGGTTCTAATCTTCACTAGATTGCCATGGGAGATAACAGCTATTTTAGGGACCTTGCTATGCTTGAAGAGTGTTATGAATAGAGAGAGACTGATACCCCAAATTTACTGCAACTAGAACTTAAGGGTGGAAATAGCATATATGTATGTGAATTACTGCCTTTTTTTGTTAACCAGGCCATCGGGAGAAGCTTCCTTGCTCTGTTTATTGCTACACATCTATTATAACTTTTCTCTGTCTGGAAGGAAAGAATCTTTTAATTTACAATAACTTACTGTTTGTTTAAGATTGAGAAACGGGAAGTCATATGCTAACAGCTATACTGGCTGAGCACTTAGTATCAAATTAAAAATAAACACCAATCTGATTGAAGTAAAGAGGGGGGAAATACCTGGAAATATCCCTAAATATTTCACTAAATCTTTAATTAAAAAAAAATAAAAATCCAGCCACAGATTTAAACAAAAGTGTAAAATGACTTTTTGAGGCAAGAGTCAGAGAAACTGCAGATAAAATCCACTTAAGGAAAATTAAAATATTTTTTCTGAGAGCAAGATGCTCCAGAAGCGCTTTGACTGGAGTCAAAATGTATGCATCCATAACAAATACAAAAAAAAAAAAAAAGGCTTTTTGATAAGGTAGCAACATAATAATACTGCAGGGAAGTATAGACTCTGAGAAAACACTCTGAGTTAAGCCATGATAACTGTAAAGGGGATCACCTCACCTTCCAGGACCAGCCCATGTAACAAACGGATAATCCAACGGGTGGCACTGTTTCCCCTACAACTGCATTGAACTCATGTCCAGGAGTTATTGAAGAAACAAGGGAAAATGAAAAGGCTGTTCCCATTAGAGAGGGAGGCTACAGTTAATACACCCACGACAAGGAGCAATGTGGGGACTCTAGAGCAGGAACTTAAGTCTCTCATACCCTGTAACACTTGAACATTCCGTGGAAGATGAAACAAGAACTCTTTGAAGTTTCAAAGGCAAATTTTTGCTTATACAAGACTGAACTATCCAAACGTAATTAATACAAAATAGCATAGAACTCAAGAGGTAAAGCAGAAAAAAAATGAAATAGTTGTCTATTTTTATTTTCCTCCAACATTAAGTATTAAAATAAGAATGCAGTGAAAAGGAAAAACTTTCGAGAATCCTGTAACCCTAACACCTCAGGGCATCAGAGAGTCCTTATTTAATCTGACAACAATCTGTTCTGTACTGTCCTTCAAAAATGTTTGTTTTAAACTCTTATTATTCTACAGTTACTCAACCATAAGGCTACTATAATGCTTAGAGTATTCCAAGGTGTTCTTTATTAATATTTTTGGAAATTCACTTACTTTTCAATTCTACATTGACACAGTAAATTCTGTTAATAAGCTCCTCAGCTTTACCATACTATGATTTAAAACAAAAACCCTATTAGCTTTTGTATTTCATAGTACTTAAGGAAAACACAAACTATTCCTGATGATCATAAAGCTACATCCTCAATTTCGTGACACAAAAGTTTGCATTACTAAGATGTCAATAGCCTGAGGTTTCAACCTAACTTGAATGAAAACTTCCATAGTTTAAATATAAAACCAAACTTCCTTTAACCATCACATTAGAAACCAATTATATTTCTTTTATAGATAGACAGAATTTACTTCGTTAGGAATGAACACCTTAGAAATCTAAGGACCAGATGCAAATTACATCTCAGAAGTAGGAATTACTTCTAGCTTGGCAATCCCAGCATTATTTGCACACTCTAGGATACGCATCCACATCTGGGCAATTACTGCAATATAAAAGTAAGACAAGCAAGTCTAGACGACAGAAGAAGCAGAATGGCTTACTTAAATTGATGTCTCATTAACTGACACCCTATATGCAAACAGCACAATTCAGAAAGCATTCCATGTAGGTAAAGCCATAAGTGGTAAGAAATTACGTGCTGCAGCTAATATAAACAGCTGAGCAATTAATATATCTCAGATTACTAAAAATACAAATGAAGTGCTATTTACTATAACACATTATAGATTCTTGCTGTAAAAATTAGTGTTCTACACTTCTTTTTATTCTAGCACTTACTGAGATGTTTTTATTTATATAACCTTTGGACATAAATCAGTGAACTGAAGTAGCTGCTTCATGCTAAACTGTACAACTCATATTAGTTCATCCAACAAAACAGTCTTCAGAACTTTGGGATTTGTCAAGACAAACAAAAGGCTCCGCATATTTTTAACAGAAATTAATAGTAAGCTTCTGTTTAGAGACCTTTTTCCCACTGTGCCCTGCTGGATAGCCAGGAGTAAAGCAGGACTGAGGATCTCTCGAATCCATCAGCTGGACCTAGGACCATGCTCTAGATGACGCTGTACACTGACTTGTCTCTGAGCTTAAACACATTGCCCTGTCTCCAATCTTTCTGCCTCTTCTTCTTTACCTGGTCCCTCCTGGGCCAACATATAAATAACTAAAATGCCAAAGGCAAAAGTACAAAATATCCACCCCTATGAAGCCATGAACTCACCAGGGGCTCTTAGAATGCCATTCTACCTCTCTCAGGTTTGCAAGATCATATTTCTTATTGATGAAATTGTCTCTTTATATCTTCCAGAACAACTGCATACCATGCCAGCTTCTCTGCAAAGAAAACTGTCTAACCATGTGCCACCTTACAAGAGCAAATCATGAAACACCAGCAAATTAGAGCCAAAGTGAGTGAATAGGAGGAGGAAGATGAAGTGATAAAATAATGAAAAGACAAAACAAGTTTGCATCTTGTTCCTACCAGCAATAAATAATAAATGAAAAGTTCAAACAATGATACTAAGAAATTGGGAAAATTTCTGTCATTGGCCTTTTATTAAAAATGCAGGGAAACAGATTTTGCTGTTAATATACTCCCTGTATAAGAGCCATGCTTGGCAGAACACAATACTGTGAAGAAGTACCAGTGATATATGCATTGATTCTCATGCAAGTACTTGAAAAGTGCAAATTCTACAGCCAGCACCTGCTGTTGATGACAGGACACATGCTAACAGCTATGAATTTTAAGGGTCATGTCTGCTGGGTGGTGTCCTAGCTATTAAACCTCTCAGTGTCTTATTGACATTTTACAGTTGACAGTTTACATGCAGAAAAGGCAGGTGGTGCAGGAAAAAAAGAAAAAGAAAAAGAAACAAACATAAAAATCCACATTTCAACAATTTCTTCCACCTTTTGAAGGTCAGCTAGGATTTAACATCCAATTCTAGAAGCAACCAAGCACCTTCAAGCTAGATAATGAGCAATTCTATCTTTCAGGGAAGTCAGAAAAGATTCAAGAGCACACAATTCTGAAGAGACTTTACTAACTTTTAGTTTTAAGCCTGAAACAATTATAGTACTAAATCC